GAGCAAAAATAAGACTTTGTGGATTTTAGACCATCAAAAGGGCACAAGGCTGAATTTCTAGCAGCAGTGGATCCTGGACTTTGCTCGCCATTTTGACCTAGAAAACTCAAGAACTGGACTTCCATCATAACATGACATATTTAGAGCTCTGAATCAGCTTTACAAATCTTCAAGCGGTTCATCATTCGGAGTTCGGAGCAGAGAGTTATGATCTTCTTAACAGAGGTACGCAGAATTGCCTGGCAGCACTGAAGTACTGCCTTTCTCCCCATTTTCGACCAACCAGACTTGAGAATTGGGTCTTCATCAAAACATGAAGTTTTTAAAGCACTGAATCAGCTCTCCAAATCTTCAAACAGATCATCATTCGGAGTTCGGGGCACAAAGTGATAGCAGTTTTACCAAAGTAGGTCAGTGCTGAGCAAGAAGAGCATGTTACACATTACACTAATTTAGAGTGCTCGAGACCACTCTTCGAGTGCTCGAAAATCAGGCAGATTGCACTCGGAAATGGCTCAATTTCAGCCACTTGCACATTGGTTTCCTCAATGCCATCTTCCTTCTTTATGAAGTGGTTGGAGGTGTTCCTTGGAAGAGAGAGAGCCTTGACTTGAGCTTGATAAGAGAGAGGAAGGAGCACACAAAACATTATCCTATATTCTGGCAAGATAGAGGAGAGAGAAGAGAGCAAGGAGGAGGGTGTTCTTGAGTGCTACAGTAGGAGCACGAAAATGGAGTCTTGGATGGAGCTTCTTCCTTCTTCTAGCTTAGCAATGGGTAACTAACTCTTTCTCTAGGGAGGTGATGAAGTCCCTCCCTTGTAAGAATGTCCTAGGATAGTCTATTTTGGGGATTTGCCATGTATATTTTATGGTTTTTTCATAACCAAGAGCACCTCATTTGTTGTAATGAATGTTGATACATGTATGGATGATTTCTTTAAGTTGATTATCTTGTCTTAGATGATGTCTTAGAGTAATCATATTACTTGAGTTTTCCATGGTGAGAGTGGAAGCAAGGTTATTAAATGGTTTCATGGCATGTTGATAGGTGACTTTGATAGACCATTGCTTAGGAAATCCTTTGATGGTGTATGCTTAATATCTAACTCCATGTGCTTTATCATTTTGTCAAGAACTTGATAGTCTCTCATTTAAGTAAATGTGTATAAGCTACACCTTAGTTAGGTAGTCTAAGCATGTTTATCTTTTGATGGATTATACTTGTTTGAGACCTAATGTACCTCTTGATTACTTATATGGCAACCATGTGTTGCTATGTAAGTCTTGACCATCATATGTTGTTTTTCCCCCAATTTAGGTCTAATCTAGCATATGTATAGGGATGGAGGCGGATTCACTTCCCTAGTCTCCTCTTCTTAATCTTTTCATCCTAAATTCCTTGCAAATTAGTGTTTTATGCACTTTGAATTCCTAAATTAAGTGACAACAAACAAAACCTCTATGAACACCCCTTCATCATCCTAAGAATGACTTTAGACACTTAGGTTGCCTTAGACTAGCGCAGTCCCAGTGGTTCGACTTACCCGACCAATAGCCCTATTTTACAATGATTCGTGCTATTGCGAAGGTTGATGTATAATTGATAAACCGATCAATTTTTGGCGCCGTTGCCGGGGACTTGCAAATGGTTTAGCAACCAAAGTTTAGGGTTAAATTTAGTTTGATTGTGCATATTGTGTCTTGTGAATATTCCTTGTGTGTTTTGATCATCTTCGTGTTGTAAGATTCTAGGGACTCGAAGCTCGCCGTGGGATTGCTAGCAAATTGTAAGTCTAGAGGACCCCAGGTAAGTCTCGTGACTTCTAGTTTCGAATTGTGAATATCGTGCATGTGTTAAGCTTAGAAGTAGATAAATTGTAAGCCCTTGTCGAGGCTATTTCAATTGTGTATTTTCAATTCCAAGCATCGGTCCTTGTCGTGGCCATTTATTTTCTGTCTTGATAATTGAGGAGAAAGGGAACATCGTATGTGGAGTTGATGATAAAGATTTGTTGTGATGATGTTGTTGTGAATTGTTGATGTTCGGCCGTAGGTCACTCTCTCTACCCACACTTGACTCGCCTATTGATATAAATTCACTTGAAAAAACTCTTAGACGGAACCTTAGGGAACCCACTCTTACAAGGGATCTTGAAACTGAATTCAATATAATGGGGGATAACATAAGCAATCCGGGGAATGACAGGGCTGAAATTCCTAATGTAGAACCAATGACTCTTAGAGATCATTTCAGTCCTACCACCTATGCTTCTCCTTCTTGTATAGTGATGCCAAACATCGATGCAGCTCAATATGAGATCGAGTCTAGTACCATTCAAATGCTTCCATCATTTCATGGCTTTGATAATGAAGATCCATACAAGCATCTTGATGAGTTCCTTGAAATCTGCTCGACCATCCGGTTGAAAGGTTTTCCGGACAATGCACTTCATCTCCATCTTTTCCCATTCTCCCTCAAGGATAGGGCAAAATATTGGTTGAACTCCCTCGCTCCCAACTCTATTACTTCTTGGGCTCAATTGCAACAAGAATATCTTAAGAAGTATTATCCGGTGAGTAAAACCAACCAAATGAGGCGTTCCATTCTAAGCTTTTCTCAAGTTGATGGAGAACAACTCCACGAGACTTGGGAAAGGCTACAAGATCTTATTCGAAAATGTCCTCATCATTTGATCCCAAAATGGCAATTAGTGTAAGCTTTCTATACTGGCTTGACCGAAACCCATAGATTCATGGTTGACTCTTCGTGTGGTGGGATGTTCATGTCCAAGAATGCGGATGAGGCTTGGACCTTACTTGAGAATTTGAGTGAAAATTCACTTCAACACAATTCTCGTAGGGCTCCGACCTCAACCACTCCAAACAACACCAACCCTTGTCAACCAAAATCAATAAGGGAGGAATCATCTCAAGTGGATGCCATCACTCATAAATTCTACCAATTGATGGCACCACATCTTCCTCCTTCATTGTCTCAAAATTCGGCAAGTTCAGTTTGTGCTTCATGTATTAGTCCATTCCATCTCTCGGAAGATTGCCCCACACTGGAGCAATTTCCCAATCCCAACCAAGAGCAAGCTAATGCCATGTTCTCGCGGCCCGGGAACAATCCATATTCCAACACCTACAATCCAGGTTGGCGAGATCATCCGAATTTCTCGTGGCGGCAACAAGCCCTACAAAATTCCCAATTCCAAAACCAAGGGCGGCAAAATCAGCCCTCTTCTCAATATCAAGGTAGACCTTTCCAAGCCTCTTCAAGCTACCGTCCTCCCTACAATCCAAATGTCTCCAATCAACCTCCTGTGTGTCCAACTGACGAGATAGTAGCTGCAAACAAGCAAATGATGGAATCATTAAATAAGCAAATAATGGATGCCAACAAGCAACTCTTGACATCCTTGCAGCCTACTCTCCAGATGGTTCACTCTCATACTCAATCCATAGCTAATCTCGAAAATCAAGTGGGCCAAATAGCTAACTCGGTGAATCAATTGCTTCAAAAGGACAAGGGCAAGCTTCCCTCTCAACCTTTTGAAAATCCTAGAGGAATGCATGTGATTGACGAAACCCCTCCTCTGAGTGGGCCGACTCATGAACAAGTTCAAGCTATCACCACCCTTCAGAGTGGTAGAGTGGTTGACAACAAGGTCGATGGAGACAAAAGTGAGGAATTTTCTCCTTTGAAAAATCCGAATCCAAGCTCTTCTAATCCAAATTCAAGCTCTTCTAATCCAAATTCAAGCTCTTCTAATCCAAATTCTTGTCCAAATACCATTCACGGAAATCCCACACGTCACCCCAAATGTGGAAACTACTTATGAGCCAAAAGCTCCGTTTCCTCAACGTCTTCAAGAGTCGACACATTTTGGGAACAAGAATTGTAAAATTCAAGACATGTGGGAAGTTTTCAAGCAAGTGAAGATTAACTTGCCCCTCTTGGATGCTATCAAGCAAATCCCTCCCTATGCAAAATTTCTCAAAGATTTGTGCACCCAAAGGCACACTTCTAAAAATCATTTGCCAAAAAAGGTGAGGTTGACTGAAAATGTTAGTGCTATCATTCAGCACAGCACTCCTCCGAAGTATAAGGATCCGGGCGCCCCCATAATCTCTTGCGTCATTGGTGACAGCAAAATCGAGAGGGCCCTCCTTGACTTAGGAGCTAGTGTGAATTTAATTCCATACTCAGTCTACCTACAACTTGGGTTGGGAGATCTTAAGCCGACTTCCGTGGTTTTGCAACTTGCCGATAGATCGGTCAAGCATCCACGAGGTATTCTCGAGGACGTTATCATCAAAGTGGACAAATTCTACTTCCCGGTAGATTTTGTGGTTCTTGATACAGAACCGGTCCATGACTCAAAAAAGCACATTCCCGTGATCCTTGGTAGGCCATTTTTAGCCACTGCTAATGCATCAATTAATTGCCGAACCGGGGTGATGGACATTGCTTTTGGAAATATGCAAGTCAAACTCCACATCTTTCATGCAACTCAACATCCCTCCAATGAGGATGATTGTTTTCTTGTGGATGTCATTGATGAAGTGGTCGAAGAATCTCTCCCCTTCATTCTAAGCAAAGATCCTCTTGAAACTTGCATGTCCCATTTTGACTTCTCAAACTTTGATGTTGATCAAGCCATTCAAGAAGTCAATTCCTTGCTTGATATTAGTGCTATCATGGATGTACCTCCTTGGAAAATTCCAAAAGAACCACTTCCCCAACTTTCCACCACTCCTCCGGTCCCATCATTGTTATCTCCGCCACAACTTAAGCTTAAGCCGCTCCCGGCGCATCTCAAGTATGTGTTCCTTGGTCCAAAGCAAACCCTTCCGGTCATTATTGCCTCGGACCTTCAAAAAGACCAAGAGACCAACCTTTTAGCGGTGCTCCAAGAGCATAAAGAAGCTATTGGTTGGACAGTGGCAGATTTGAAAGGAATTGACCCCTCCATTTGTATGCACCACATTCATATGGAGGATGACGCAAAGCCTATTAGAGAGGTACAGCGCCGGTTAAATCCAAATATGAAGGAAGTGGTCATGAAAGAGGTGATCAAATTGCTAGATGCGGGAATCATCTACCTTATCTCTGATATCAAGTGGGTGAGCCCCACACAAGTTGTCCCCAAGAAATCCGGTCTCACCGTTGTTGAAAATTCAGCGGGTGAGCTCGTGCCACAACAAACCACCACCGGGTGGCGTGTGTGCATTGACTACCGGAAGCTCAATTCATTAACTAGGAAGGATCATTTCCCACTCCCATTTATTGATCAAATCCTAGAAAGGTTAGCCGGCCAAAGCTTCTATTGTTTTCTTGATGGTTATTCCGGCTATAACCAAGTGGCAATCGCCCCCCAAGATCAAGAGAAAACAACATTCACATGTCCCTTTGGTACTTTTGCCTATCGACGCATGCCTTTTGGTCTATGCAATGCACCGGCAACGTTCCAAAGGTGCATGATGTCCATATTCTCCGATATGGTTGAAAAGTTCTTGGAAGTTTTCATGGACGATTTTTCCGTATTTGGCTCCTCCTTTGACTTGTGTCTCAAAAATTTATCTCTTGTGCTCCAAAGATGCAAAGAGACGAATCTCATTCTAAGTTGGGAGAAAAGCCACTTCATGGTCCAATAAGGCATTGTTTTAGGACATGTCATTTCTAAGCGGGGAATCGAGGTAGACAAGGCAAAAGTTGAGTTAATCTCTAATCTTCCTCCTCCGAATTCCATCCGTCAAATCCGTTCTTTTCTTGGCCATGCTGGATTCTATCGTCGCTTCATCAAAGATTTTAGCAAAATCTCACGGCCCTTGTGTAATCTCTTAGCCAAGGATGTTCCGTTCAATTTTGATGACACTTGCATGGAAGCTTTCATCAAACTTCGCATTCTCCTCTCATCCGCCCCAATCATGAAACCCCCTAATTGGTCTCTTTCCTTTGAGATCATGTGTGATGCATCCGACTATGCATTAGGGGCGGTTTTGGGCCAACGTGTGGATAAACTTCCGCATGTCATTTATTATGCTAGCAAAACTTTCTGCAATGCCCAATTGAACTACACCACCACTGAAAAAGAATTGCTAGCTGTGGTGTACGCCTTGGATAAATTTTGCTCTTATCTTCTTGGCTCCAAGGTCATCGTCTTTTCAGATCATGCCGCTCTTAGGCATTTGTTAGTGAAAAAAGAGACAAAACCCCGTTTAATTCGATGGATCCTCTTACTTCAAGAGTTTGACATTGACATCCGAGACAAAAAAGGGACCGACAATGTTGTCGCTGACCATCTCTCTCGCTTACTTATTGAGAAATCTTCAGAATTCGCAGCCATCCGTGATTCCTTTCCGGATGAGCAACTTCTTCAAGTTTCACATTCTACTCTTCCATGGTTTGCGGATATTGTCAGTTATCTTGCGGTTGGCAAAATTCCAGCCCATTGGTCCAAACAAGAGAGGGACCGGCTTTTCTCCCAAGTGAAGCATTTCTTTTGGGAAGATCCGGAACTATTCAAGTATTGCCCAGACCAAATCATCCGGCGATGTATTCCTGAAACCGAGGCTACAAGCATTTTAAATTTTTGCCATACTCTTGCTTGTGGAGGCCATTTCAGTGCCAAAAAGACCGCTAACAAAGTCCTTCAAAGCGGATTCTTTTGGCCTACCTTGTTTCGGGATGCATACAATTTTTGCAAATCGTGTGAACGATGTCAAAAACTTGGATCCATGTCTCGAAGAGATATGATGCCCCTCACCAACATTTTAATTGTTGAAATTTTTGATGTGTGGGGGATTGACTTCATGGGACCATTTCCATCTTCTTATGGCTATGAGTACATCCTTGTAGCGGTGGATTATGTGTCTAAATGGGTTGATGCCGAGGCTACCAAAACCGATGATCATAAAGTCGTGATCCATTTCATTCAGTCTCACATCTTTAGTCGTTTTGGTACGCCCCGAGCAATCATTAGTGATGGCGGATCTCATTTCCGAAATCGTTATCTAAAATCCGTCCTTGCTAAGTATTCCGTCATTCATAAGGTTGCTACACCTTACCACCCTCAAACGAGTGGTCAAGTAGAGATTTCTAACCGGGAGATTAAGCACATTTTGGAAAAAACGGTTAGACCGGACTGCAAAGATTGGTCAGTAAGGCTAAACGATGCGTTTTGGGCTTACCGGACAGCTTATAAGACACCCATTGGCATGTCACCATATCGACTTGTCTTTGGCAAAGCATGTCATCTCCCGGTAGAATAAGAGCACCGTGCTTATTGGGCCATAAAAAGGTTCAATTTTGATCTCAAACAAGCCGGCTCTAATCGTGCGTTGCAATTAAATGAACTTAAGGAATTGCGTAATGACGCGTATGAAAGCGCAAAAATTTACAAGGCAAAGACTAAAGCTTTTCATGACAAACACATCGTCAAAAAGTCTTTTGCCGCGGGACAAAAGGTCTGGCTTTTCAATTCCCGCTTGAAACTCTTTCCCGGTAAACTCCGGTCAAGATGGGATGGTCCATACATTGTCACTACCGTCTTTCCTCATGGAGCAATTGAACTTCATGATCCTGCAAGTGGATCACTCTTCAAGGTAAATGGCCAAAGGCTTAAGCCTTGCATTGACGGCACAATTCTAACCTGAAAAGTTGAGGAAGTCCTCTTGACGGATCCAATTTATAAGGATTAGTGCCTGCTCTAGCTTTGTCTAGCTATCGACATTAAATTTAGCAACTCAAGGGAAGAAATTCTTTCAATTTCCAAGCTTCCTTCTCTTTGAAATTGCTCGTGCCTTGCAAATTTTCTGGGAAATGGTGTAGAAATGCCAAAATTTAACTTTCTCTGGAACTATCTTAAGTTGTGTTCCACATTTTTAGACTGGCTTCTTAGACCTTCTCAACTCTTGTTTTCATTCCCGGAAGTTTCCGGCTCTATCAGGCAATTTTCTCGGACTTCCGACATGGCACTCACATGCATAGCCTCTCATCTTCAACGCATTGTTGAAATGTTCCTAAACTCATCCATGCATTGTGTGAAGTGCAAAGTTTGAATTTTTTTTTTTTTTTTTTTTTTCCAATTTGATCAATGCATTAGCAAGATGTTGCAAAGTTTGACAAATTATCCATCCAGGCATTGGATTGGAATAATGTGCCAAGTTTCAAATTTTCCATGCATGGCTTGAATTTAGGACTGACATGCAAATTTTCAAAAATTCTCTATGCTTGAAATATTCATTTTTGAGAATTCCATCCATTTTGCATCATGTTGCAATGTTTTAAGCTTCAAATTTTCTTTTTGAAAAATTCCATCCATTTTGCATCATGTTGCAATGTATCAAGGCTTGGCAAGTTTTCCATTGGCATATATAAAAAAATAAAAAAATAATAATAATAAATAAATAAATAAATAATTATTAATCACCTCTTTATATATATACATATTTTTATCATAATCATAATTGATGCCAACATGATGCACAGTTTATTCATGCATGCAAAGGAACTTGCATTGTATTAAGTTCAGGTTCAAGAACTTGCATTGCATGAAATGGTCAAGAAATGTTAGAGTTCAGGTTCACATGTTGCATTAAAGCACCATTGCATTGCATTCATGCATTGTTTTAATCCTCATGCAAGCTTTGAGTGCTCCAGTTTTCCTCCCAAGCTTCATTCATCAGAACTCCTCCTCCCCAACACTCAAGCCACTGCATGCAACAACTTGATTGATCTTCAAATGCCCTCATAAAGTTTGCACTCAAATGCACTCATCAGTTGAGCTCACTGTCCAGGCTTCGAGCCCTCGAAGTTGAACTTCGAGTGCTTGAACTTCTCTCACCCAAAGACCCCAACTCTCTACCTTACTTTCGAGCAATCCCAACCCCATTCCGAGTGCCCAAGCTTCTTAACCCAACTCACTGCCCAAATTTCGAGCACTCGAAGACCAAGCTTCGAGTGCTCGACCTCCATCAACAAACCACCCCCCAACCCATGCAGACCAACTTCCACAACCCACCAACCTGCATCCATCTTCCAACCTCTCTCGGCTGCCTTCAATTCGAGTGCTCGCAGGCTCAGTTCGAGCACTCGAATCAACCTCCTCACCAACCCAGCCTCAACCATGCCAACCAAGCATCAACTAACCTCAAACCTCCAGCATACAAGCCCCATGCATGCCCATGCATGCAAAACCACCCACACCTCCCCAACCAAGCATGCAAATCTTGCATGCAAACCCATCCCAACCTCTAACCACCTCACCAACCTCACACACCACACCAACTCAACCTCAACCCCACCTCACCATCCCGACATCATCCTCACCAACCCACCATCCACCACCCTCACTCTCGGCAACTCAAACCAAACAAACCTCAACCACACTCAACCATCAACCTCACCACCCTGCACACCACCACATATCCAAACCCATGCTCGAACCACTCCCAACCCCTTGCATGCCCCAATACACACCTCCTCTGCATCTCATAACCCACCCACATCCCTCCACCACTCGGTCACCTCAAAACCTCTCCACCAACCCACCATGCCGAGTCCACCATGCATAGACCACAAACCCCAACCTTCCAACCCTCACCACCACTACCATGCAACCCCAACCATCTACACCATGCACCACTCCCTCAACCTAAACTAACCACCTCCATCCCACCTCTCGGCAAACCCACTTCCCCCAACCAACTTCGAGCCTACCCAACTCCACACCCCCATGCATGCATGTATGCACCAACCTTCCTTCTCCTCTCTCTCTCAACCATAGCTTGCCAACCATGCACAACAACCCACTTCCACAACCCACCATTTCTCTATCCTCACCACTCTCTAACACCAACTCACCATCACCCCCTTTCAACCAAACTAACCCTCACCTCTCTGTAATAATTTCGAGCACTCGAAGCCAAGCTTCGAGTGCTCGCCAATGCTCGAACTCTAACACACCCAACAGCTGAGCCCACTGCCGGATTTTCGAGCACTCGAAGACACCCTTCGAGTGCTCAAACCAAGCCTCTCTCTCCCTCTCTTTTAAAACCAAACCCCCTCACTCTCACTCACCCCTCTCGGCACCATCCCCACAACCACCTTACTCCCCTTGCATGCAAGCCCCATGCATGCACCTCAAAACCCCCTCATCTTCCATCATCCACCCTCACCATCTCTCGGTTTCTCACTTTCCAACACCCACAATGCATGAACCACCCCATGCATTCCCCTCTCGGTTCTCTCTCTTCAACATCACCCACCTCAACCATTTTCTCAACCCACATCATCAACACCCAAACCAACCTACCCCTTCTCTCTCTCATCCACACCACCCCATCATCTCACCTCTCTCTTCCTGCCTTCTTTCTTGCTCTCGGATACACTGAAATTCAGGTCTGTGTCCTCTTCATTTGTTTTTCTTTTCCTTTGTTCATTCATGGTGTTTTACAAGGAGGATGGGCTGGTAATGTTGGAGTTTGGTTCTGTTGATGCTTTGTTGTTGATTTGTTGATGATAGAGCTTGTTTGCTTGTCAAAAATTTTGGGTTTCATCATCCACCCCACTCATTTTCACCTTCTCCTTTTTATGGTACACGCCAGGTGTTCGCTAAAATTCCTCAACCAAGTCCACCTCTCTAAATGTCTCATGCCGGTCCTTCTCGCCCTCCTAGACCTTCTTCGGGTGCCCGTGCTGTCAATTGTGAGCGACCATGTGATCCTTGGGATCGCAAACAACTCAACTATGAACTCTCATTTCCGCTCACGGCTGCCTTTGACATTCTACCCACTACTTCGTGGGCTGTCGCCGAATTGACTAACCGGCGTCTGCAGCAAATTTGCGCGCCCTTGCCCGAGTTGCCTACCCCCGTGTAATGCGCCTCTTCTATCAGAATCTCCAATGCCCTGAAGAGCCACCCATTTCTCTCACTACATCCATTGATGGCACCACCTATGCTTTCACTATGACTGACATCATTCAGGTTTCTGGTTGCCCCATTGAGTGCCCCGATGACATTGTCAATCGTGAAAATCTCCCTTTATATGAGAAGCCAGATACATTAACTGTGGAGCAGATTGCCGCTACCATTTGCACTGTTGACGATCCTACCAAGCCCCGGTCTTTTATCCGCAAAACCAATCTTCCGGAACGCCTCTGGTTCATTGACACTGTCTTCAAGCACAATGTCTGCCCTTTGGTGCATAGCACCGAGCGTAGGGGCCTCCTTTTGCAAGCCTTATATGCCATGGACCAAGGCCAATGGTTCTCCATCCTAGAGCTCATTTGGACCACATTTATGAAGTTTTGGCATGACGCTCATAATGCACGGGTTCCACGAGTTGAAAATCAGAAATTGCCTTTGCCGTTTTTCATCACTCGGCTCCTTCAGCACAAGGGTTTCATTGTTCCTCCCCATGAACCAAAAGGCGAAAAGATTAAAATTTTTACCAAGCGCCGTTGGATCAATGTTCTTAGCCATTCTAGTACCCCTCAGCCTGCTCCCCCCCTGTTCATCCAAGCTCCACCTCCTCCTCCTTCTGAGGATGCTTCCACAGCAGTAGCCGCTGCAAGGGTAGAGCCTCCGGTCGACTCTCACCAAGACCAGGCTTTCATCCGGGCTAGCATTGCCGGTATTCATGAGCGACTGGATCATTTTGAGAATTCTTTGTCCGCGTACACTCAGACTTTGTGTGAGACTTCTTCACGTGCCGAAGAAGATCATCGTCTTGCTGCTGAAGACCGTCGTGTCGCAGCTGAGGAACGTTGTTTGGCTTCCGCTGAACGGCGTAAGACTCAATCTCTCCTCCATTCCATCCTCGCCCGTTTACCCTCTGGACCGTAGCTTGTTGCGAGTGTTGGCCCTTATCTTTTTGTTTCATATGTACATATTTCTTTTGTATCTTTTGTTTTCCTTTTGAACTTCCGGAATTTGCTATGTATAAGTTGCTCTAGTCGACATGATCTATGTACAGCTCTTTTGTAATCATGTCAAAACTCTTTTTGAAATGCAATTCTCTCTTTTCTGTTAACTTTATGTACATTATTTTTCTATATTTATGCTTGTGCTATTAATGCT